GGGGGGGGCACACCCACGGTTTATACAATATTGAGTCCCCTTGGCCCAAGGATGCTCCAGACTAATTAAGGATAAAATCCCTTAATCCCTACGGTAGAAGAAGGATTTTAAAGGTTTTACCTCTATTTCCCCTATTGGGCCCCGCCCCTCTGTCCCCAGGGGGGGGCCACACCCACCATTTATACAAAATTGAGTCCCCTTGGCCTAAGGATGCTCCAGGTCAAATTTAGTCAAAATCTACTTGGCCGTTCAGGACGATTAGCGTTTTAATGGAAAAGTTGAAGGACGGACGACGGACGCTGCGGTATGGCATAAGCTCACCATGGTCCTTTGGACCAGGTTAGCTAAAAATACAATCTAGAACAACAATTCTTTTCTGAATAATGAAATGTAGTTTAAGAATTTATGACAGAAGTTTTTATTATATATATGTATGTAACGAAATCATGAATGAAAAGTAGAAAATTTAGTCGAGCCCTCCTGTCAGACACACAAAATGTACTTACAGCATAAACCTTGTCTCGAATGGCACGCTTACACAGGTACACAGCTCCCTTTAATGCCGTTTTCACCTCATCCTTCGGCGTGGATGTCGACATCTCTGACATCTGTTTGTACACAGCCAGCAACGCGTCCTCGCGGTATGACCATGTTTTACTGTATGCTTTGGCCACCTACAATACAGCAAAACACAAAAAAACACTGATTACCAAATTTATCCTACATAAAGCCCTGGGGCCCCACATATAAACTGTAACTTGAAGTAGGGGTCTGGCTTGTTGTAGGAAAAGACCGTTTGTTAGCATTTCCACTGAACTGTATTTGACTTTGGTGGGCTTATTACCAGGCATGGGCTTATTGCCAGGCATGGGCTTATTGCCAGACAAATAGGATAAAGTACAAAATCATAACAACAGACCTTATAGTGCATCAGATTGAACTTTTCTTATCAGATTTATTGGATAACAGAGCCATTCAGGAAAAATCTTTGCCAACAGTTCTATTCATAGGGACATATGATAAGACAGACATTTTCTTTTAAGACAGGAAGAGCACCGATTGATACACTCTGCTATTCAAGGAGTTATCTTATATATACATGCATCAGTATAAGGTGACAATTTACCAGTGGTTCTCCAAATACGTCCACCGCTGCAGACGCTTCGCGAAGGTCTTTCTCCGACAACGGCTCGGGCTCCCCAGTGATGCCGCCCCCTCCTGTGTCTACCACTTGCTCCTCTTCCTCCGTAACTGGGGGAGGTCTGTAATAACATTTGTAATGATGTATGGGGTACTTCTCAATGATACAAGGGACATTTCTCAACGACACAAGATGGTAGTGTTTTATATAGTTTCAATGTGGACAATCTAGGAGAACTTGTACAGTGGTATAACAGAGATGAAAGGAATCATATCATGATACCATGATAAATCAAAACAACTCTTCAATTTAATGAGGTTTTTAATCTTATGACATACATATACATGTATATGATACATGTAAATGTTTAAGGAGGAATGTCAGACTGGGAATGTATCAAATTTATTTTTACATTGCACATAATAAAGTGAAACATTTCATATTTATAATTGGATTTTCTGAGAAAAATAAAACCTGATTTACTATTGTTATAAACATCAAAATACCTGGACAGAAACAATAGGTGATAAAAATAATACACAACTGATAGAAAAAGTAATTAACCCCACTTAATTACAACCCAATTGTTTACAAGTTTAAAGTCCTCATATAAAATGTCTTCAAAACCATCAACACAAACATGTTTAAATCACATTAATAAAACAAAATTCATGTACATCTAATATATCTATAAATATTAAACCTTTATTTATCAGACTGAGCCTATGCCCTGGACATCAGAAATATTTTGTTTGTGAATTAAAATCCATTAAAATCCAAACCAGTGAAGCAGTAGAGGTATGATATCTCCATTCAGAGATTTTCATTATACGATCAATTAAATACTCATCAACATAATGAGATTGAGAGGCCAATCTATAATTAATTTTGTATCCAATGATCAAGAAACTAAAACAGATAAAATTGAAACATTCAAGAAAAATACAACATTACTACAATTACATAAACCTGAAAGTTCAAATTAATAAAAAATAGGAAAATAAAAAGATTTCAAACAAATAAAATGTTCTGTTATCAGAAGACACCTGAATCATCATATTAAAACCTTTAAGGATCCCTGTACCACTGCCAAAAACTGTAACTCAGTGTCAGAAACAAAATATAGCTTGCGAGACTTTTTATGAGAATTCGTGAAGATGAAATAAACAAAATATAATCAACAACAGTGTTTGGAGTGGAAAAATTTCAGCGTGGCTAGACCAGGGTACAAATACTGTGACATTAAAGTGATGTACCATCACTCTAACCAGTTGAGCTACCTGGTCAACAGAAGGGTCCTGGTCCAACTGTGCTACAGTTATATCCAAACGAAAGTTAAGGGGAGGTAACTGTATATACAGAAAACCACAGTGGGACAGGGATCCTTAAAAGGATTAATCGTTACATATGAAATATGTCAGTACCATTTATGAACCATCAGGAATATAATATTATACAAGAGGCCCATGGGCCTTAACGGTCACCTGATATATTTATACAGAGAGTTGATTTCGTTTTTAACACGAGCAGAAATATTATTCAGTGACAAAAAAACCCAATAAAACCACCTTATTCAATATCTAGCATACATATTTAAGACTAAAAATTATTTGAAACTAGCACCTCTGATTCTAAACAAGGAAAATGAAGAAATTTTAGCACACTGACTCCTTTGGGCCCCACCCTACAGCCCTTGGGGGTAGGGCTGGCCCAAAATTTTCAAAGTATCAAACTGTCAACTCAGGGTTATAATTCCAATCTAGTTATTAACATGTAATATTCAAAGTATCATTTGCGATTATAAACCATAATAAATTTTGCCCCCCCCCCCCCCTCCTCCTTCCCCAGGGGGTAAACGTGAGACCCTAGGGGCATAAACCTTAAGACCCTTACATCTATGAAGAGTGTTTGATTCTACCATATCTGCCATGGGTCTTTGAGAAGATTTTTTTTTGAAATTTCAGTCAATTCAACCCTTTTTGGCCCCACCCATCAGCCCTGGGGAGTCAGTCAGGGCTCATATGTGCATACCATCAAACTGCTACCCAATACTGATAATGCTAACCTAAAATGAATTACCTCCAATGGCAATTAAACAAATGTTGGTCCAAAATGTGATTTCCCTCTATAAACTATAGTAAAGTTTACCCCCTCCCCAGGGGGAAACGTGAGACCCTAGGGCCATTAAATTCACAACTTTGGTAGAGCACCTTAAAACCCTTCCATCTATGAAGAGTATTTGATTCTACCATATCTTGGTCTTGATAAGATTTTTGAAATTTTAGTCAATTTGACCCTTTTTGGCCCCGCCCCTCAGGCCCCTGGGAGCCGGGGACCAAACCGGCAACTTTTTTCATTGACCTTTGGCCATGGAAGGTTTCTGCAAAATTTCATTGAAATTGGTTCAGGGGTTTTGGAGAAGAAGTCGAAAATGTAAATTGTTTACGGACGCACAAAGGACGACGGACAAAAGGCGATCGCAATAGGTCACTTGAGACTTTGTCTCAGGTAACCTAAAAAGTAAGCAAACTTCCCTTATACATAATTTTATAAACACCCAGAGCAAGATAATACAGTTAGATACATGTTATTAATTAAATGTATGTAGAATAAACAATATTGATTATATGAGAATCAGTGATAGAATTCCAGTCTTGTTTATTAAAGTTACCTATCAAACATGGATCCCCATTAGATGTTTGTCATTTGTTAGATCCTGATCTAGTATCAAATAGTTATATAGACTGACCTGATAGGATGGTTAACTGGAATTAAGTCATTCACCCCTGAAATGTCATAATGAACTATTCCAACCTTTGAATTGGAAGAGTTCAAATGTGTCTTCAGGGGTGAATGAGTTAACTTACAAATGTGTTCTGATTCTGCTGGGTTTTGTTTTTGTTTCTGAGGTTTTTTAAAAGTTTATTGATAGACATTTCAGTCATCGTTACGACAATGAAATTATATCATCAGGAGATTTTCCAAGAAAGTTTTCTTATGCAAAATTCTACAACTTAAAACAGGTCTACAAGGGAGACAACTAGAGAACTAATTCACACGAGAGCAAGAGGTGTCTTAACAGGATCATGACCTTTGACCACTGACCTTTGACACCTTGAAGCTCTAGACATACAATGTTACCTACATGAAATGTTTGGCAACCTCAGTCGGCTTCACATAGCGCTTCGTGTAGCTTGTCAATATATGAGAGAAACATATACAATACATACAGATGATTCAAAAACTAGGAAAATTGTTAGAATTGTCTAAACCAGGAGTTGCTCTGACTTCTCATAAAAACACAAGTACTGCTAAGGGTACATAAAACGTCGGTATTACTGCCCAACATAACTCACATCGATCAGGTTTCCTCTATGTAATAATCAGTACAGTGATACGTCATTTGACCTCTGACCTTGGTCTTAGAGAGAGTACGGTCATGAAGGTAACACTGTCTAGGTACTGCTGTACCTGTTTATCAAGTTACTTACATACTTAAATTTTCATTATTTTAGATTTGACGTTTTGGGCAAGATATTCAAAACAATACCTTGATTTGTAACTTTCCAGAGACCTAAAAAGGATCAATATTAATGAAATTACATAATACAGCTGCAAAATTTCTATTTTTGATTTTTGAGAAATCAGAGCAATTGAGTCCTCTATAAAATGCCATTCCCAGTGGACAAATACACATACAACTAACATGAAGCCCGGGCCAGATTACATAAATATTTAGCAAAATCTGATATAAAGGGAGAAAACTCTATATACCAAACCTACATATAGCTGGTGATCCTGCTGTTACATGACCACAGAGCAAAGACAAATGTGGGGTTAAATAAGAACTCCATTATTTCAGATTTGAAAAAAGTTGACTAACAGACTATGGATTAGGGAAGTTAAACTGAAAGATGGATTTCTTATTCGTATAATAAAAGTACTTTGATTATGCAGACATTTTGATTGTGAGAATGAAATGAAGTATTTTGGTTCGGGTATATCACGAAACTTTAGTAATTGTGATGAAATGTTTATCCCATAAACCACAAACAGTAAATAATTCATTAAAAATCACAGTGATTAAATGCTGCAAATAAATAAACTGTTAAAACAATAAACCATATATGTTCACAGTACAAAAAACAGATGCAACAAACTTTTTTAATTAATATCATTCCGTAAAAATTCAAACGAGTTATGAGTGAGGTTAAGTGTTAGGGAGGAACCACACGGAGTGGACCGGCTACACTATACATGTACTGTGTCTACGTACCTAATGTCACTACAAATAAATACAGTACAGGTATATAGTATACAATGACAATACACTGTGGACATAGTATTCCGTCTTTGCATATTGCAGAGTTATCTTATCTTGTGAGCAGGTATTGATTGTTACGTCATTGGTTTATGTGAGAAAATTACATTGTTTTCTCAAAAATTGATGACGTTACTCTCACAAACAAATAACGTAGCAATCAAAATACCTGCTCACAAGAGAAGATAACTCTGCAATACGAAAAGACGGAATACAACTTTACAATAAAAAGCAAGATTTCCTAAGCAAAAGTTTAATAACATCTTTTTAATGCAACTACTATCTACTATAACATCTGTGTCAGAAAGTCTGATCTAAAACCGCAGCCGATCTCTGCTCAGCTAGAATATGACAGTGTTCGAATATTTGATATACATGCACACATGAAAAATACTCTTCAATATGGACATGTATCACTGACTAGTTTCCAGACTGGAAAAACAAGATTTCAACTATGTAGCTAATGTCACCCATCATGATAGACTTTAAAAATTCAAAATTATTACATATATAAGGAATGGCAAAATTGAAAATGAAAAAAAAAAACAAATAAAAAAAGGGCAATAACTCATGTAATAATATATCTGCAATGATAAGATATTGTACTTAATTTGAAAGTAATTTGACAAGTAATGTTGGAGTAATATCGAGGCTAGAATCATGTCCGACATCGCTGACAAGGTATATGGAGACTGTTCTTAACCCGACATCAATTGAGATCAACACCAAATCATGTATGTGGGTTTATCATGATTTAACTCTTCCACCCCTGAAATTTCCTAATGAACTATTCCAACCTTTGAATTGGAAGGGTTCAAATGTGTCTTCAGGGGTGAATGAGTTAACCACCTGATATTCCAATACTTACTTGACGACAGGTAATTGGCGTTCGTCATATGGTGTCCTGGAGCGTGGGGAGGGAATCTGTTCCCGCTGGGTCGTGTCCCCTTTACTAATAGGAGGAAAAAGAATGACTTCTAAGGCCACAAACATCTAAGGACGGAGTATACCCATGAGAAGTAACGGTGAAATATTCATGTCTTCTTGGCAGTTTTGTAATACATCGTATTTAGCTTTTTGCTTCTAGAAACATCCACTTAAAACAATGTATTTTATTCTGACTAAGAGAGGGAGGGGAGGCGGGGCAATGACCCAGGAACAACATGTGAGTATGAATTAAATGGGTCGTCGACCCAAAGACATATATATTTAGGGTATATTACATAAAGGATAGGGGGTGTCTGACCAAGGGGCATTTAGGTATTAGGTTTAATAGTAGGGGATCCCGGAGGGGCAGTTGACTCAGGAGTCATGTAATAGGAGGGCTAATAACCCATAGATATTTTGGTATTAGTTATTATAGTATGGGGGAGGGGGTGGGGGCTGATAAACAAGAGACCAGTTGATACTTCTGGGATGAAGGGTTGGGAGATGGGACTTATGCCCCAAAAACAAGCAAGTATAAGTTATATATTTTTTTACTATATTAGAAATTAAATTAAGGGATGGGGTAATGTTGACCCAGGGACATGGGTATTATGGGGGAAGGGGGACTGTTGACCAGGGACATATAAGTTTTGTGAATTACACTGTAAGAAAAGGGGGACCCAGGGAAGTGCAAGGTATTAGGTAGTAAAGTGTTGCGTGATACATGTATAACTTCTATCTCTAGAAGCTTGTAGGGTTATATAAAGTATACACTGTGCACAATATGACTTTAGCAACAACTATGGAGTCTTTTAAAACTAGAAAACTAAAAGCAAAATTCTAAAAAATATAGGTGTATGATATAGTCATATATTAATTATACACTAAACAACATAATTATCAAGTATAGTGTTTATAATAAAAAAAAAAACAATCACAAACTGAAAGTATTTCTCTTAAAGCTGACAACCCCAATTACAAGGTTTATTATCTACATATAAAATTGGGAGAACATATCAGCTTTGGCTACTTCAATGTCGTCCTAGATATCTAGGGGTTGACGGGACAAGAAGACAAGCTTGATCCTTTGATATACATCAAAAGAATCTCGCGGTCAGTAACTAACGGTAAAAATTGACAGGCTTTGAAGTCGGGCGTCTCTCCTTTGTAATCTTCAAAGGACAGGTATCAGCCTAGCGATTGGTCAGGGTTTTTTAACCAAGACCAATCAAACAGCTATCTTCGTGCCTTCAATTTTGCTATAACATATTCCAGGGGTGGAGAGAGCTAAAGTGAGCGTAACCCCTAGATATCAAGGATGCTTCAATGAACCCTAAGCAGAAGACACTGAAGAGAACCGTTGATACACAGGGAGCTCCAAATCTGCCATTACTTACAATAACGTGTAATGGGATACAGCAGGCTAGTTATTTCACCAAACCTTCACAGTTCTATATTAATAGAATGAAGAGAGGCGACGTATAGGTATTACTTTGTCAGCGTTGGCTGTTGCGTCATCCAAAACAAGGTTTCCACGCGATAAGTTGTGTTCCCTTGAGTTGATTGAACTCAAACTTGGTACACATATTGCATACCAATATAGCTCAGACGAATTCGCATTTCAGAAGTTTACCTGCATTTTTTGTGGAGTTATGCCCCTTTTATTGCCAAATAAGGGCATTATGTAGTAAATGCAAGAACTTTTTTATTTTTTCATCCATTCCTTTCAAATTTTGTATGGTAATACTAGGAGGAGCAATAATGTTCAACAAATGTTCTGTATTTTCTGTCAAGTTTCAACTTTCCGTGTTTGAGCATATTGGCGTTGGGTTTGTGTTTATATAAGTGTAGCGTCAACGCTTTAAAAATAGACTGATGATATGAATGTATGTGATGTCTATGTGGAAGTTAAAGTTTGAACACATATTATTTAACTTGAATTTATTTTGTTTTAAAATATCAAATGTTATTAAGTATATACTGTTCACCAGGGAGTTTTCACCGTAGTTTTACTTTCACCATTTTTGCCCTCTGTAATGAGGGCGAATTTATCATTACAGTGAAGATCTGTTCACCACATAACATCCAAAGTAGTAAAATGTGAGGGGCTTTTGTTTGTTTGTGTTTTATGTCCTATTAACAGCTATGGTAATTTAAGGACGTGCCAGGTTTTAATAGTGGAGGAAAGCCAGGGTTCCCGGAGAAAAAACACTAAAAACACTGACATACGGCCAGTACCTGGCAACTCCCCTGTAGGCCTTGAACCCGCGACCCAGTGGTGGAGGGCCAGCGGTTGCAGAATGTCAGATGCCTTAACCACTTCACCACCTTGGCCCCAATGTGAGGGGCAAAATCAACACTTAGCGGATATTGATTTTATCAGCAAATGGCAAAAGTTGGACAAGGCGAAACTTTTCCCTGTATACAGTATAAATGCCAGAAGAAAACCTCGGGTTGTCAGCTTTGACTGAACTTTTCATGGATGTGTGTTTGGTGTAAACTAAGCACAAGTGTGGTTTACAAAATATAAATATTTATAAACATCATATATATGTATCTATATATTTTAAAAGTGTTTGCTGACAGGAAAAAAGCTATAATTTGAAGTCAGGTGATATGTGATGTTCTTACCTTTTCATTGCAGGTAGGGGTCTCTCATCATAAGGTGTCCTCGGGGGTGGAGTTCTAGGCGGGGTTCGGGGCGAAAGGTGAGTGAGACGAGGGGGTGTTGGATTTCTCACAGGTTCTGTAATATAATAACAAGGCAAACGTCAATGTATTGATTGATTGATTGATTGATTGATTGATTGATTAAGATTGATTGATTGATTGATTGAATGAATGATTGAGATTGATTGATTGTTTGACTGGTTGTGATTGCTTGCTTGATTGATTGATTGATTGAGATTGATTGATTGATTGATTGATTGATTGATTGATTGATTAAGATTGATTGATTGATTGATTGATTGAATGAATGATTGAGATTGATTGATTGTTTGACTGGTTGTGATTGCTTGATTGATTGATTGATTGATTTAGATTGATTGATTGATTGATTGATTGATTGATTGATTGATTGAGATTGATTGATTGAGATTGATTGATTGATTGATTGAGATTGATTGATTGAGATTGATTGATTGAGATTGATGGTGTTTACGTCCTTGTTCTGGTTATAACAAAAACACTCGACCAACAAATTTAAAGTTTGAGTGATCCAAACCAAAGAGTGATTCTAGAACATTACTGAGTGTAGTGGTACAATTACTTTTTTTTATATATATATATTTTTAATAGAATACATACCAAGGTCTATATGTTGTGGATGCCTTGACTGAAAACAAAAAGAAAACAGTATTATTATGGTTTCAACACATCAGAAACAGGAGAAATTGTGATATCTTTTGATATATTTTTAGATTTAAAATGAGGTCGCATGTAAAAACTTTCCTGAAATAACCAGGATCTGTGTAGTACTTCCCCTTGCAGGTCTCCAACAGCTTGCTGATGCTGAGGTCACAGTTAATAGTTTTGGTAGAGATCAAAGTAGCAATGTAGAAAACACTCACCCCACCAGTCTCCAACAGATCACCAAGGTTGAGGTCGTGGTAGATTTGTAAGCGATATTCTTCACACTGAACTTTCTTGAGCTTTGCCTTGTCATAATCTTCATTCTCCACTGCCTGGCGTTTCTCCACCTCAAATTTGCCCAATTTCTCACCTACTTTCTGTAGGTCCAGAATAGCTGTCTTCAGCTTCTTTGCATAGTCAAACCTCTCCTCTAGAAACGAAAGTATGAAAATGAACATTAAAACATGATAAAATAGTCATTATGTTTTAAATACACTAAAACCTGTCGCAATAGAGAAACTGTCCTGGAAACTTTGACTACAATATGATTATCAAGTAAAAATGTGACCTATCCTAATACAGTAGATTTTGCTTAATATCACTTCTCATTTGGTAGAGAAAAACATGATATTAACTAGAGCATGACATAAAAAGAAAACATGTTTTTCTGACCATTTCAGATGTCAAAACCTGGAAGTGACAATAATTAAATGTTCAAGTGTTATATTTTTTTAAAGAAGACGGTTTAGTAAAAATATTTGTAACTGACACAGCTTTTTCTTTATTAACAGTCAAATAATCATCTTTTATTTATTTATTTCATTGAAATATGAAGCTTCTTACCTTCATTTACCATTGATTTTTTGGTGACACTTGCCAAAATAAAGTGATATTAAGCGAAATCGACACCAAAACAAGTGAAAATAAAAGAGTTGAATTACATAGATTTTAGAGCAGGAAAAATGGTGCATCAAGAAAACATGATAATAAACGAAAAGTGACATTAAGCGACGTGACATTAAGTGAAATGTACTGTATAAGCAATGTGACCCATACAGTTTAACAATTCAACTATTCGTAAGAGAATCCTGGTGTTGATGCTCCTTCGTTTACTTAATTGAATTTATTTCACCTCCTAGAAAATCTAAAGGCAATGGACAGAATTCTTGAATCAACATACGCATAACTGCCTCTTGTTTTTTCTTTTCCAATTTGCGTATAAGGGCAGCTATCTCTGGATCCTGGTACATGTCAAAAGCGAGGTCATCAAGAGGCGAGATGTAGTCAGGTCTGTAACACAAACATTAGTCATTAATCTGTTACAGAACACACAAACTGATGATTTATCTTGCTCTCGGAAACTCTTAGACCTTTGATTTGCCAACGATTGGTAACATGTAAAATTATTATAGAACGGTGTCAAGATTTGTCAGAAACCATTTATGTTTACCTTGATGTTAAGTCTTCCTCGTCCTGGTACTCTAACCTTCCGGCCTTGTCTGGGTCTGTGTTATAGTCCTACAAAACAATTCAATTAAAATAAATGTTTGGATTTTAATAGTTTAAAAAATTTTCTGATTTTAATGGTCGGAAATGTTCTGATTTTAATGGTTAATAGTTGGAAATGCTCTGATTTTAATGGTTAGATATGTTACGATTTTAATGGTTATACCTTTTCAATAGTTTCACCATTTGGCCAAACTTCAACAGAATCATGCATATAATTGGATAACATCTATCCTGATATCAATTTCATCGTCCTCTTTATGAATTAAACATATATATATTTATCTGTCGTTGGAATGATGGCCTATAAAGCTTCTGTACAAAATTTGTAACAATATACAGACATTTATTCATAATATTTTGATAATGTGTCACAAGTAACATATGGTCTTATATCTCCATGAATATTTATAAATAACATAATATATTGCAATTGTCAGAATAAAAATTACTTTTCCACAGCAATTAAACTGAATTTCAAATAAGAGTAAAATACTGTTAAGTCAATAAACCATCATATAACTGTTATCATTATATCATCTCTCTCGTTCTCCACTTAGAATATGGTACATGTTAATGCAATTTATGCTACATTCAAGTCCAGTTGTGAAGAATCAAAGTGTCAAACATTGTTAGTGACTAAATTGAAGGTGAAACAATACATTTTTGAAAATCTCCTACCAATCATATGGGTATATGTTATGTGTGAGGACACCATATTGTTCAGGGGCTGACCCAAGGGCTCCCCAACCCTGGCAGCCCCTATCAAAATATTTATATATGCATATATCTATGCTTTCAAGCAGTACATATATATACATATTTCTGGCTGGGGAAATAAAATATTTGTGAAAATAAAAAAATAAAATTATCACTACACATATATATGGTATTGCTAATAACTACGAGTGTATTATATATTACCTTGCATTAAACACTCTTCGCAGACTTAAATATCTTATCATGAAAGTTTGATACAAAACAGAAAACCAGAAAAGTACAGTATAAACATACTCTGTAGGAAGGCATGCTGGTGAAATGTTGTAGACAGGGTGAGGTGTTTTTATATTTAATCACTGTATTCACCCTTCTGTATTATACTGACCAAATACAAAAGGAAATATGTGTCAGGTGGTTTTAATGACATAAACATTTTAAGTTTAAGTGAAAATGGGTGTTAAAACGAATGTTTGCAATGGACAATGAAGGACCTGAACACGATCTCCTTTGAGTAGCTACACATTAGTCAAGAAATACAAAAAAAACATGCGGAGTAAAAAAAAAAGATGACAAAAAAGGGAAAGAAAGAAAAAAAGAAAAAAAAATTGTGCAAAATAAAAATTTAAATGTGTAGAGGATACCTTGAAAATTTCAAATGATAAACGATCATGACTGACTGGAGCCTTAAAATCCAGATTCCAGAGATCAGGCCACGAAGGCTGTTTGTAAACAAAAGTACAATGTGAACAGTCGGCAGACTCGGGTTAAAGTGTGCTCTAGTTGGGTATCACTGGTAAGGAGACACTAGGGGATATGATGACTATCTTAATATCAATAGAAAAATAATACAATCAGTTATATAGTATAGAGATGTTGGTGAAAATGTGAGGAATAGGGTCGTAGGGTGTTGGATGGTAAGTGGGATGGTAAGTGGGATGGTTGGGTAACATGGTAGGTTTGTGGCAGCGGGGGTAGGAGCTGTTTGGGTGGTGAGGTATTTCAGTGGTTGGGTAACATGGTTGGTTTATGGCAGTGGGGGTAGGAGCTGTTTGGGTGGTGAGGTATTTTGGTGGTTGGGTAACATGGTTGGTTTATGGCAGTGGGGGTAGGAGCTGTTTGGGTGGTGAGGTATTTCAGTGGTTGGGTAACATGGTTGGTTTATGGCAGTGGGGGTAGGAGCTGTTTGGGTGGTGAGGTATTTTGGTGGTTGGGTAACATGGTTGGTTTATGGCAGTGGGGGTAGGAGCTGTTTGGGTGGTGAGGTATTTTGGTGGTTGGGTAAGGTGATTGGTTTATGGCAGTGGGGGATAGTAGCTGTTTGGGTGGTGAGGTATTTCGCTGGCTGGGTAAGGTGATTGGTTTAAGGCTGTGGGGGGTAGTAGCTGTTTGGGTGGTGAGGTATTTCGCTGGTTGGGTAAGTTGATTGGTTTAAGGCTGTGGGGGGTAGTAGCTGTTTGGGTGGTGAGGTATTTCGCTGGTTGGGTAAGGTGATTGGTTTAAGGCAGTGGTGGGTAGTAGCTGTTTGGGTGGTGAGGTATTTTGGTGGTTGGGTAAGGTGATTGGTTTATGGCAGTGGGGGGTAGTAGCTGTTTGGGTGGTGAGGTATTTCGCTGGCTGGGTAAGGTGATTGGTTTAAGGCTGTGGGGGGTAGTAGCTGTTTGGGTGGTGAGGTATTTCGCTGGTTGGGTAAGTTGATTGGTTTAAGGCTGTGGGGGGTAGTAGCTGTTTGGGTGGTGAGGTATTTCGCTGGTTGGGTAAGGTGATTGGTTTAAGGCTGTGGGGGGTAGTAGCTGTTTGGGTGGTGAGGTATTTCGCTGGTTGGGTAAGGTGATTGGTTTAAGGCAGTGGTGGGTAGTAGCTGTTTGGGTGGTGAGGTATTTTGGTGGTTGGGTTGTGGTTATAAAACTGGAGTCTAACAATTATCAACTGACAGTTTCCAAACTTTTCTGAGCCTCTCTACTGATTGTTTCCTTAACATCCATCAAATAGAGACTTTCCAGGGTGGTTTAGAAACTGCACCTCTAATTCAGCTGCAAAAAGATTATGATGTCTCCTAACATATTTTAAACCACTCTCACGAAGTTTCTTTTTTTTCTTTTAAATTTCAATAATTTATTTCTTAATTGTAAATATGTATTGGTAATAATGCTTTTAACAGAAAACTAAATTATGCATTTGCCGGAAAAAAAATAACATTCCGATTTTAGGTTTGTTTTCTTTTTAAATTGATAATTCCATTTTTCAGATTGATAAAAATTGGGGGATCAATTCAGCTACACAGAATGTGATATAATTTCACTGTAATTCATATGAGGAAAGTCTCTGTGTAAACAATTTTTCATGAAAATTTGAAATAGAAAGTGTCTGCTAGAACTCCAATAATACGTGTCTGCAGGACAAAGTGAAGGGTGGCAGGCAGATATACAATTATGATATTTATAGGGATGCTGACCACAACAGATATTTGGGGTTTAAACCATACATACTCGCTTGTTCCGCTGTAATACACAAGACAGTATTGAAGGATAACCAGGTTATCCACAAGGTAGGTGATTTTTGCTGCAGGTTATTTTTGTTGGATTTTTTTAACTGTAGTGCTTCTTATATAGCCTGGGAAATTCAAACTGCTCTGAAACCATTCTTTCAATTACAGATAAGACAACTCATTAAACATCTTGTATGTCAAAAGCACCTAGCTAATTAAACCTCTGTGACACTCTACCGCATTTCCACGGAGTTGGCACTGTGTTGTGAAATTTCTCAAAGAGCGTCGTGGGATCGGAGGAAAATTCTGAAAAACGTTGCACTTGTTTTCAAAATTTTCACAAGATGGAGATGTCAGGCCACCCTTACGGTGAATGAGGCATTTCTACGGAGCGCTCGTGGCGTGCTACAGTTCTAATTGGCGATTGACTGCGCTCTAGCTCACAGAGTGCTCACGGTGTGCTAGGAGTTGTCACTGACAGCGGGCCTAAAACGTTCGTATTTCGTGCGTGACGTGTTTACAAACACCATCATCAGTTGCTATTTCGCTGATGATGCATATAGGCAAGGAGTTTCCGTGCTTGCTGGCGTACAACAGTCATGGTGAAATGAGGGAGACAAAGATGAGAATACATTTACACCATTTTTATGGGGTTGGCTTACAACACACTCACAATGCCATGCAAACGCTAGCAAACGCTGATGGACGCGGTAGAAGCGCTGTGGGAGCGCCGTGGGAGTGCATTGATCACTGTGGCAGCACCGTGTTGTCGCTGTGAGAGAGCAGTAAAATAGATAACACTCTGTGTAAGCGCCGTAGATGTGCCATAGACGACGCGGTAGAAACGCAGTGACATCACTAAGGATTCTGTGAGGTCACCATGCAAGCGTCGCCGACTACCACTGTGTCCATACTGTGATCATGTGCGTCCTTGGTCACACCCACAGAGCTCCTGTGGAGCTGTAGGAGACCTTTGTGCTTTGTGCATGCTCAGAGTGCGCAACGTCGCATGGCTTTATAGGCCTCCCCAAAGCATCATGTTCTAATGCACAATATCATAATACATTATATAAACTACAACAATACCACTGTCGCAGACACCATTCAAAATCAGATATTTACAAAAAAATCTTAATTCTATCAGCAAATAAAAACAATATCATATAACATAACAATATTTTATTAACATAGTCACATGACCTTACATCAGTTAAATCTCACATTCCAGTTTGCTGATGTGAGATTCAATTGATGATATGACATCATATATTTGTTAATGTCATATATATTTGTTGATGTCATATATATTTGTGTGACATATATTTGTTGATATTTGAACTGTCATATGTACTGTTTAATATACATTATCATTAGTTAATGAGGCCCATACTTACATCTGTTAGATCTGACGGTCGTGAGATAATGTCCCCGATCACATTCAGAGCTATAACCCCCACCTGTAAGGATGGTGATTTAGAGAGTTAAATCATCTGAACAACTTTTTCAAATTTCTCATAGATGAGCCTTTAGTTCAATGCTTAGTTTCAATTTTCAAACTTTTGTAAACAGTTCTCTACTTTCTGACAAAATCATTATGTTTTGAATTACAGCTTTAAATTTTTTAAATTTTTAGAATTCAATGTTTATTTTTTTTATAAAATGTCATTATTGAGCTTTGCTTCAATGTATCATTAACAAGGGATATATTATTTACAATCCGCTCACCTGGTTGTATACATTGTACTTGTTGATGTGGTTTTTGTGGACGAGAATTTTCAGGTAATGGCCGATTGCGTCCACATGGACAGATTTGAGCTCTCGCGACTTAAAGGCTGTCTTCTCATTGTCTGACAGAGACACATACCTGCAATGACAGATTTTTATTCATAGATAATTTTCGCTATATCTGTATTTTATTTTCCTGTGAAAATTACCTTTAATGCAAAGAAAATAATGAAACAGTCTTGGACTTAAGTCTGTGAGGCACAATTGTAAAATGGATTTTTTTTTAAATTACGCCTGTCTTTAAACTCCATGACAATTTCAAAAAGAAAAAAATTAAACGTGCAGTACTTTAGTTCAATGGACTTTGAGCTAACAATTACATCTCCACCTGATTCAACTGTGATTTAATTAATTAATTTTTATTTTTTGTAAAAAAAAATTAAAAAAATGGTAATGACAGGCATTATCAAAATACCATATCACTTTGTGATAATTCTTAACAATGACATAAGGTGTCTTACGTACCCTAGCCGAGTGTATCTGGCATTGTCAGGAGACAAATCCATATCTTCAGGGACATCCCCCACCATAAACTCAAGCTTTGTGGCTACAAATAAACATCCACACGTATTATTTATAATAGATTATTGAACTGGTAAAATTATAGTGACAAATTGTACCAATAATCTATTGATGGAGTAAATAGTTTGAATAATATCATATTGAGAACAACATTAACTCATTCACCCCTGAAATTTCACAATGAACTATTCCAACCTTTGAGTTGGGAGAGTTCAAATGTGTCTTCAGGGGTGAATGAGTTAATGCTTGATCTATACAGGTTACCATGATGGATTAAAGTCTCACAGCAGAACCCTGCAATATAACTTATTGCTACTCAAAATTAAACAAAGGAAACATGTAAAGCATTACTTATACATCAATCTGTTCAGAAAACTTACCCACTAAGAACTGGTGAGACAAAACTTGTATTTTCCTCAAACGTGAGCGAGCATCGAGCCGAAGGATGAGGTCTTGTGGGTACAGACAGTACCTGTATGAGATATAACATCATTGGTTACTATATCATTATATTTGGGTGGTCAGGTGACACAGTGGATAACACACGCACCTTTTACCAAGGCAACCAGGTTATGATTCACCGATCAGGCGTGAAAAGGTATATGGGGTTCACCTGCCCGATCATGTGGGTTTTCTCTCCAGGTACTCTGGTTTCCTCCCACATTATGACCTCCAGATTAATAGTGATTAATATAAGTTGAGATTACTTGATTCATATTTGTTGTAAAATAAATAAAGTTTATATCTATATACTATATGAGATAACACATTTCCTTACAAATTATTTTGCCAATTACAATCTTGTATATGATACATTGTATATATCACTACATTACAGTATCTTGTTAGATCCCAACTACAAGATTCAAAAATATTTGTTACACCTGTTCTGCCAATCCTTAACCTCTGACATGTTGACGTTACCTTGAAGCTTGCCATCCCCTGGTCAGTGGACTGTGGACATTCAGTTCAATAGCCTTGTATCCATCATCCTGGCCAGAAACATGGACCACTCGAAAAGGAAGTTTGCGTGGCATGATGTTGCTGTATTTAGCTAGAAGGCATTGCCTTTTCTTTTCATTAGTACGACTCTCACAACACGGGAAGCTTGTTTATACTTGTGGTTCCTATATCTGTCAAAGAGCTTTCATATAGAAGTATTCCTGCTTCACCTGAAAAAATATAAATCCAAAGTCAATAATGAAATATCAAACGTAACTGAAAAATCAACCATGATGGAGGGTTGTTTAAATTTGACACGTCATGGAAACTTGCTTCATAAAATGTCTGAAATTTATTCTGTGTTCCCTATATAAAGGCCTAGAAGCAGTCAAACTGTTTATGAACTGCCTGTGTCAGTTACGTATACATTTATATATTCGTAAACTTGTGTCAAATCAAACTATACATTGTTTATCTCATGCATCGGGGTCATACCGACTTAGTTACTCATTCACCCCTGAAAACACATTTGAACTCTTCCAAACCAGAGGTTGGAATAGTTCATTATGAAATTTCAGGGGTGAATGAGTTAATTTACAGCCACTCAAACTGTTGGTTGTATATTGACATCAGTCAAGTCATACCTCCACTGTTCTATAAATCATTAAATAGTCTAACTATTTCATTAACGTCAGGCTATCATATATATGTACAATGTCATCTACATGTAGTCGTCAAATTAACACTGGCATCATTTATACCACCTTCAGGCTTGCAAACATCTACAGATCTACTTTCTGAATTTTATATCAGTCAAATCAAATTAAATTAAATGAAGAACAAAGTCACTCGATATATTCAGACAGTTACAAATGAAAAATTAATCTACAGGTGATTCCCTTGAAAGCTGCAATAAATGCATCTTTTGTCTTTGTAAACAAATATTGATCTTCACATATTTAATTGATACCTTTATCAATCTACAAAGATTGTACAGGATATTCATGGTTTGGCATCTTTCCAAACTTCTAGAATACAGTCAGAGCCATTATTTACCTGGGATACTTATATATATATACCGTCAAATCACAGAAAATATCTTCTGTTCATACTTGGAATTTTATTAACAAAGTTTACAGATTTTTGGATGAACTTTGAAGAATTTATGATGGTAGGCTGAAAATTTTAATTTCTTTAATTTGGCCTATAATTTTTTTAAGCAAACATGTCGATCGTCATCCTCAAATAATTTCATGCAGTGCATTTATAAAAAAAAATGTATGAATTTATATTATGCTTATGTTTTTAATAAAGACTAAGTTAGAACTGTATTCAAATTGAGTGAAAGAATAATAAGTTATCTTTTTAATTAATGCATGTATAAATTAAATTTATTATTGTTACTGCACCGAAACTGTGTAGTTCAGGTTTAAATTCCGGACCCATGCATTTAATTAATTGTTCTTAAATCTGTCAATCAGTGAATGGCTGTTTTATTCTGTTGTACTGGTATGTTTGTGATGACCATATGGAAGAAAAGTCTTTCGTACCAAATACATGTATGTGTCGACCCTCATTAAATAAAGCTTTATTTTCTTATCACCACTTTTATTACGCAAGGACATTTTTTTTCATTGATTTTAAATTTTGGTATACTTCACCTAGAATGTACATGTATGCAAGCTGAATGGTTACCTTTAAATATAATGCTAAAAACGACAAAATCACCATAATGAAAGTAAAATTTAAAGAAAGTAAAGACATGTACCAGGTACCTAAGGTACCTAAAAGAGTACTTCAAATTCTACAGTAAACATGCAGCTTTATATACTTTGTTCATTGAATTCTTGCAATCTTGACCTCAATATCTATACATACGTACACATTAAGTAGTACTAAGCCTTGTTAAAATCAAATTCTAAAGAAAAATAAACTTTTCAAAATTAGTGGACAATGAGATGTTAAAGTTAAGACAGGGGTACTAAAGTAAATTTGTTTGCATTTTTAGAATGTCTCATCGGAATAATATTATTATAGTATATATATGAAAATGTGTATATATTATAGTGGATATATATTCATTTCTCGTTACCATGATACTGTAAAAGACGTGGATTAATTAGGTTGCATTACAAGCGTCAGCTGTAGAGAATTTCCCTTTAGCGTAGAGCATCGGGCTGGAGAGCCAATGGCCGCAAGTTCGAGCCCCAGCGACGGCACTTTATCACTATTCCTCGTCCTATTACAAATTGGTGCCGTTGACCCTCTCCGTTCAAGGTAGGAGAACCCTTGGCGGGGAGTCAAAGAACCTAGGTTGGTGTTTGAAAAAAGGTGGGAATATTTATATATAGTGTAAAAGATGTGGATTAATTAGGTTGCCTTACAAGCGTCGTCTGTAGGGAATTTCCCTAGAGCTCAGCGGTAGAGCATCGGGCTGGAGAACCAATGGTCGCGGGTTCGAGCCCCAGTGACGACACTTTCTTTATCACTATTCCTCGTCCTATTGCAATACAGGTTTTAAAACATTTGCCTAATACATATTAAGTTCTTAAAATTTTGACAGCGGGCGATTGGTTTCTGCTATACATAGTGTAGACTCCAATGAATTGTATACATCACTAACAGTTAAAGTCAAGCCCAGGATTTACAGTACAGTACCAAAAAGATATGGTTCTGTGTTAAAAGGCAAGAGCACTAGCACTTTAGACAGCTTTTATGAGCTTACTGTACATTATATATATACACTGTACATGCTAGATCTAAAGCATAATGCCAAGTATTTGCAATTTGCCAGGATATACAAAATTACACTATATTTCATGCAATATATCTTATCTCTTTTTCATAGAATTTTCCTGGAGCCAATTATTGTGTTATTGAAATGAATTTGGACACCCTGAGTTAATGTTTTATTTGAAAACATTTCGATATTTTTTCTATGGAATGAATTACAAAATAGGATGACGTTTTCTCAGAAATAAAATTTCATAATAATCAGCTACTTATTTAAGAGCCACTTTCGTTTGTAGCGAAATTGGACTGGGCGGTCGATCATCTGAAACCAGGTAGCTCAATCCGTCTATAGTATAGAGATTTGAGGGTCCTAGGTCCAAATCCTACACATTATCTGGCTTGTATTACAGTGGTGCCTGTGACCAACCATTAAATTTGTTCCAAGGATGTACACTAATTAGCATGGGCATGATGGGGATCCAAACCTTGTTTGTAAATTGAGTACTACTAGTGATGTCATCAGGGACGAAGACTTAGAAAAAAGTAGGAAGGAATGTTACGTCAAACTTAACTTAATTCAGGTAGCTCAATTCAGGTAAGAGCGTCCTTTACAGTAGAGTTTTAAAGGTCCCTGCATGGTTCGAATTACTATCAGGCTGTGCATTTTACCGCTCCTGTCACATGTTTATCATATTCCTAACTGTTGGATTGGTTGGACCAGAGTTAGTTGTTTATGAAAAAGGAAGTGACCCTGTTTATTAGTTATTTGATATGCTATCAAGACCTGTATTAAAATTCGCTTGTCTGTCAGACTGTATCCCTGAACTATTACATTGCGATCGACCCAGTCAAGTTCCGCTTCAACAGTTCAAAACAATCTAGACATGCCAAATAAGCGTTTGATTTGGTGTCAGCATTTATAGCAAATATCAGTGTGTCTTTTATTCTGAAAGTCTCTTACTATATAATAGTAACGTGTCTACTGACGAGGGTCGATGCCTTCTCTACTGTACCGTGTACGAGCTACTGAATCAGTAGTACCGCAGTACTGTTTTGAAATTTCAGGCATGTCCATTCGGGTCGGTACCCTACCAAAGGAATAATTATGGTTTTTAAGCATAACAATCACAAACTGACCTTTACAGCAAAGAGCGTGTGCTTTATCTTCCAACCACAGATATTCAAAGCGTAACGTCCAGATATGTTTTGGGCTTTAAAAATGTATTTATCCTATTTTCCTCTTGACAACGACGAAGTTTGTGTACATTGACTCCAATGGAATCCCAATTCTCGTGTTACGGAGAAATTACGAGAACTTGCAGTTTAATGCATATTTTGAATTCTAAACCTATTTATTCTTAAGTGTATGCAAACAAATTACGGAAAAAGTTTCCAATAACTTTTCTGTTTTTAAAAAGGAATTATTTTAAAAAATGTAAACAGACGAATGGAAATGGCGGCGCCCATGTTCAATGGCGGGAAACACAATTTCAATAGAAGCCATTGAAGTAAAACGTTTGTATTTATAGAACCGGTGTTAGCTAGCGGAAGTAACCAATGTCGATATGGGACCGATTTTTGTCCCTATTTAATGGCGGTATGAGGGCTTACAAAGTACAAGACGTTAAGCGAGAAGCTCGAATAGGCGTCACAGCCAAAAGTTTCAAAGAGTTGTTGGAAAAGGGATGCAAGAAGCTAAATGTAAGTAATTTTAGTTTTGTAAGAGTATGTTATCGATATTTCCAGACTTTGACTAACAGTATTATGCGGAAGGTCTACAATGACTGAATTTCTACTGTCAAACATAATAATGGGTGGGGTCTTGATTAAGTAAAAGTGATCGAATCGAATGGTCAAGACTATGTTTGCATGTTAAGAACCATTTGATGTTAAGAACCATTTGATGTTAAGAACCATCGCCTGTCTTTGCTTTAATCATCGTAAACCCACGTCGTATTTAGAAGCGAATCAGCCTTGAGGTCACAAATCAGGGGCGTAACAAACGTGTTTTCAATGTGTAAGCCAAATGATCAAATGTGCTGCCTTCGGCATCACCCCGAAGTGTGCAGCAGGAGGAGGGGGATGGTATGGGAGGGGGTCGACGTCGCCCCCAGGAGAAATTTTGTTTTCTAGAAAGCCTAAGACGCGTTCTCTTGTTTTCTGGCGTCAGGTTCAATGGCCCTATTAAAGTAATAAAATATCTTTTTCCCCTATTATTATACAAATATTTTGCTTATTAATTAATTATTTCATATCATATAGGACATTTTTGCTACATAGGTTGTTACGCGCCTGCAAATGTGAAAGCAAATTGCTATCTCCGTTAAGATTTCCAATAGTCATCGACATCCTGACCAGATTGAATTTTGACTCCGGTTCATACGTGATAATGATGTAATTAATATAAGGGCATGAACTTAATTTAACAAATCTATTTGTTTCCTAGCTCTCATAGAAACACTAAACTGACATTGAATAGTAACGATTGTAACAGCTAGGAGAGGAACACTGCACGGCCGCACCAGGGTTTGAACCCGGGACCCTCCAAATTCTATAGATGGACGCTCTACCAATTTAGCTACCTAGGCCTACATAGTCGCTTACGATCGACCAAGTTAAATTCCCCTACATTTCAGTTCCCTTCTTTTTCTAAGTCTTCTTCGCCCCCGAAGACACAACTATTTACAACCCAGGTTCGAGTATCCCCTTGCAAAATATACACTAAATGCTTGAAACAAGGGTTGGTCACAGGCACCACTGAAACAGGAGAACGAGATAATGTAACGGCAAGACTGGGGTTCGAACTCAGGACCCCCAAAACTCTAGACAGACGCTCATCCATATTGAGCTACCTGCAGGTCGCAGAAGATCGACCCACTATACAGCCAGAGGAAAAATGAACAGCCAGAGTAAGTCACTTTAATTTGTTAAATTAAGGTTTTTGTTAACAACTTTCACTGCAGTCCTCTTAAGTTTTTCAGAGTACTTTTTTCTCTGTAAATTCAAATAGGTTTTAGATCATGCATGTCACATATGTGATATGATGTGTTTTTCTGGTAAAATACCAAAAATCTGACATTTGCACAAAACGTTTTGCCAAAAAACCTGCTATGCATGTGCAGGGGTGAAAAAATTGCCAGGACAATTATTTTGAGCGCCCGGGCATAATATAGCGCAAAAAAATTAATGGACAATTTCCTGGGTAAGGGAAAATAGTTGGTTTCCTAAAAAATATTTCTGCATGTGTTTCTCTGTTCGCCCAATTAGAAAGGAATACATAATTAACTGGCTACTATTGATAAAGATCCTTTGATGGTGGGTGTCAATGCAAGATCCGGTTATACCGTGACTGGGATGTTCATACTTGTTACCGTACCAACATAATGTAATATTTCAGTGCCTCCTTAGATAAGTTGACCAAAACTCATAGTCATGCTGAGGAAGGAACATCTCAAAAACATTCTAAACTGTTGAACTTGATTTATATTTTTTTTTAACTTTCACTGTCAATTTTAGATAACATATTAAGGTGGTTTTTTTAGTATCCTGATTTGCTGTTTGGCTAGGTTCATGTTTCTGAATGGATCGTCATAAGGTTTCCTCATATAAATGACCTTGACCAACTTTTAAGGTCTGCACAAGTGTCAAATATTTAAAAAAAAAAAAATACACACTGTATTCATAAGAACCATAAATTTAAGAGCAATTCTTCTTCAGTATGTCAGGTACAATATTAATCTAAATGTAGATCAGCAATGCAAGTCTAATCATTTATTATGTTTAAAGATTAACCCTGCAATGGAAAAGATTATTTTATCCATACATATCACAACCAGATTTGCTTTGTAGCATTAATTGATATCCTTGATCGAGAGATAGAGCCAGGAATAGGAACATTTTAATGCTACTTTTTATCCCCCGTTGTCCGTCCATCTGTCACATTTCAGTTTCTGTGCACTAACTACCGCTAATAAAGGTCTGATTTCAACAAAATGTGGTGTGCTTATTACTTATAGGCATATTTTGAACTCGGTATGAAGTGACGTCACAGTGGCATGACTTATCCGATATCCTGTTCATTACGTATATCCATTCTGACACACACTTATAAATACATGTCATATTTAAATATTATCTGCATAACCGTGTAAATAATGACTGCAACCAAAACCAATATATGTTGTATGGGTAAAAATCATCAATTGACATATAAAAAGACATCAATAATGTTCTTCTCCGAAAGAGAAGTTATACACATTCAAGCTTGAACCACGGAAATCTAAATTAACTACATTCAAAATTAATGTAACTTCAAGCTGAGAGATAGTAATACACAGTTTACACATCTAAATATCTTACCTGTGAATTACAAGGTATGTTATTTACCTGTAGTTCTAATAACCAATTAATGCCAAAGGGCATTTACGATACCTACCTGTGAATTAACAGGTAAACTAATTATCTCGGAGGTGATACCTGTGAATGCCATGGCCAAAGGGCATTTATATTTATCGCTAATCCTCCAACTAACACATACAGGTAGTATGGTGTACATGTACCGACACATTTCTTTTTGTCCCCAGTCGTGGAAGAAAAACGAATATAACGGGAAGCTTTGATTGTACGTTCGATATGTGAGGTTTTTAGCTACTTGTATGATATATATTCCGTCGTCACTTAATTATGTAGATAATATTTAAAGACAACATACATATACAATTTTTTTTTACAATTTTAATGAAGAAATGAGTTAGGAGGCAGACAGTTTGTTAGATGCTATCTAAATGAATGTGGTCTTTTTTAACATAATTGGTTAATCTAGTGACTGTAAATAATTTACTTTTATTATTAAGTTGATCTTTAGAAAACTTGATGAAACTATATACAACACAAAACAATTAATTGATTAAAAATTGAGTCAAATTAATGTCGGCGCATGCGCACCGACACCTTTCTAAACAATATGTAGTTAAATATATGATTGGAATGGACAAAAAATTGCACTGGTACAATAATTTATACTCAAAATGAGCAGCAACCCGTGTTTTTAGGTCACCTGAGACAAAGTCTCAAGTGACCTATTGCGATCGCCTTTTATCCGTCGTCCGTCGTCCGTCGTGTGTCCGTAAACAATTTACATTTTCGACTTCTTCTCCAAAACCCCTGAACCAATTTCAATGAAATTTTGCAGGGACCTTCCATGGACAAAGGTCAACAAAAATAGTTGCCGGTTTAGTCC